TTCTTAGTTATGACATGCACAAATAACTTATTAATTTGATCAATCAATTTAGCATTCTCATTTTCTCGATTTTTTATTGTTTCTTTGCACGCTTGTATTTCCCCTTCAAACATTTTTTTGCCACTTTTTCATATTTTCAACCAATACATTTAACTCCTCTATCACCGTGTCATTTTCTTTAATTTTTAGTGAGAAGACAGTGTTTTATTTGTCTATCAAATCATCCCTATCTTCCAACTATGCATGACCCAAAGAATATTTATCTCGAGCTATGTTTCATATAAGTATTTTCAATACATCATTCTCCTTCATCAGTTCCTGAACCGTTTGTCTATTTGTGTCTTCTTCTTTTCTTGCATCACAGTCATCTCGTAGTGCAACATCAATATCTTTCCGAGTGTCATATTTTTTAAAAACTTGTTCCAAACCATCTTTGTATTTTCATAGTCGTGCATCGCTTTATTAATAACAGCCTCAATTAGAGATTCAAATAGCACATTCTACTTACCATCATCACCAATTACATCCATAATGTTATCGTCATTGTCAAAAAATGTGTCATACTTTGCGTCCTCATATCCCCTGTCCTCATATCCTTCTTCATCCACCTCACCTTATGATTTTTTTAATTTATCACTTTTGGTCTTTTCCACCAATTCAGATTGGTCCCCTTCTTGTTGTTTACTTCCCTTATATCTAATAAAAAATTTTCCCTCCGCTGTTCTCTTCAAACTATGTTACAACACCTTTTGAAACATTTAAAATATCAACAATTGGATGCATTAAAACCTTTTTGAATAACTAAGTGTAACATAGAAGTGTGGCAATACAGTGTTATGTTGCAAGTGTTGAAATACAAAGCAAAAATAAAACATTTAAAAATTCAATAACATGGACATATTAAACCAAATTCATTACCACTAAGCTACTTACATGTTTTGACTTCAATTTTTCAACCCTATTCCGTTTCATAGCTCTCTTAAAACTCAATAAATTGCATTTCACAATCCATGGAATTCTATTTGGCCTCTCAGTTTTGATAATTTTTGTGTATTCACATGCCCAAAACTACACACACATACAAATTTATTATAAACAAACACATTACTTTCATTTATTAAATTAAATTGGAAATGTTATGGGGTTATTAAAAAATTACCAGTAACAACATCACGCATTCAATAACTCTTGTTAGGGTGCTACTCCTTCTGTTAAGTGAAAAAATAAGAGTTTTATGGATAGCACTTGACCAGTCATACTTTTTTATTGCATCAAAATTCTCAATATACGAAACATAATCCCATCCTAGAAATGTCCTGGTGTGTGTGAAAAAGAAAGTAACCATTAAGAATAAGCATAGCAGACTTGTAATGTCACCAACGTTATTTTGGATTGTTCCCATTTGTTTTTCAACTAATTTATTTTTTTATCAAAGTTGAGGTTAACCTGATATCCTTCTTGAATCTTCGTTTAATAAATTTTGTGTTTTTCTTCCCATGAGTTAACGAATCCATTAGATCACAAACATCTTCAATCCCAAAGATTATTTTGACATCACTTTTTCGCAATTTAATTTCCTCCCCACCAACATGAAACTTGGATATATTAACATCAGAACATATTATCATATCCTGAATGTTACTATCACTTTTCCTACACCTTGTCTTGTCTACTTTTTTATCAATGATACTTTGAAAGAGTAATTAAAATGAATTTTTTTCTCAATACATCCTTGTGTGGTTCACTTATCCTAATGTCATTTATTACTCTAATAATAACAAACAAGTTAGCTATGTATTTAGACTCATGCTTCGATTCCATTATTTTTTTTTTTTTTTTGTTTTTTGTCGTGTGTTTTACCAACTTTAACAGATGATGGACCCCTAGTTTGGTCTAGCACTTTGTTTCTACGACGAAATTCATATTTATTTTCGGTCCACTTTCCTTGTGTGTTTTCTACAACTTTAACATCCTTGTGTGTTTTGTTTTCTCCCCATGACTGATTTGAGTTACGCAGATGTAAAAACATGACAATTACAATATACAACAAAAGATTAAGTATATCAATAACTGTATAACAATAATAGTATACCAATAACTATGTAACAATACATTTACACAAACACAGTACTATTATATTCTGACAAACATGTATTTACATATAACTTCATTCAAAACAATCTATTTCTGTTCTGAATTTGGTACCACATGCACAAGACAACTGAACACAAATAAAAACAGAACCAATGAATTTGACTTTACACTTCCTAACATCATTTCAAACCTATATTCAATCAATTAAAAATAAAAAATTATTAAGTTAAAAAAATTCATTAAATGAACAATTTATCTAAGAAAAAAACATCAAGGGTTTTAAAAATGCGTAATTTTAGGGCTTTTGCAAAAAAAAAAGAAACAAAAGTGTATCACATTCGTCTTCAATTTTCGATTTATCTATAGTGTTACTCACTGGCGACAATATGTCAGCAAAACATGTATTTAACAAGAACTTTCAGCCAAAAAAAAACATCAAAATTAAAATAAATTTAATATATTTTTCACAGTATAACCCTTGATGTTAAAAAAAAAAGTACATGAAATGACAAAGTTCAACGATCACCTTATTAAACGCAGGCCAACGAGCAATTGTCAATACATGTTTCAGGTATACAAATGCCAAAATTCAAAAAGTTTCTTCAAATCGCAAACAAATATTTCACCATACTTGATTTTGTGCTAATCTAACATCGAATGCACTGCAGATTCGATGTATCTTTCACAGTCGAAACCCTCTAGTTGTTTATTATGGAAGAAATAAATTTAGACTTTTTCTCTAAATGCGATGAAGCGGTTTTCTGTGAAGACGAAGGAGTATACCAAACATTTACCGAAGATGTAGAGATTCAAAAATAAATGTCCCCAAATAAGTAGTTAAGATAAATTCTTTGTTACCGTTTTTAGGAAAGATAATTTTACAAAATGTGTTGCTTCTCCTTGGTGTCATATATTTGGAGAGTATATCGAGACTGTGGAGCATCTTCTGTTTGAATATGAGTGGGCAAAGAAAGTTTGGTTTGGGTCAGAGCTGGGTTTAACTTTGCTATTGGATCCTCATGTTTATGTCTTTCAATGGGTGTTGTCCCTCTTGGATGATTCTAAGAATATTCCCTGCTCGCTGGAGATTATGGGGAGAGTGGCTACGATTGCATGGGTCATTTGGAATTTTAGAAACAATTTTGTGTTTCATCATAAAGATCCTAACGCACTGGCCACTCTGATGTGGGCTCAATTGCAGTGGTGTGATGCGAGATTTTCTGAGAAGAGTAAACAGGAGGTGCAGCAGGTGGTTTTGCCTCTTCCGCATGTGCACCCCCAGACCACAATCTTGCTTATAGTCTGTGATGTGATGGTGCCTTCAAGAATGGGGCTGCTGCCATTGGGGTGGTTCTCCATGACTCACGTGGGATGATGGTGGATGACATCGCTAAACGGGTTTCAGCTAGCTTCAGTCTCTTCTCTGAGACAGCTGCTATCAGACAAGCTTGTCTTTTGGCTTCTCCTTCTGAGTTAAGGGATGTTACTGTGATATGTGACAATTTGGAAATAATCAAACTAAACTCTTCCGAAGACACCCCCATGGGAAATTTGTGCATTTGTCAGTGACATTCAGTATTTTACTAAGGTTCTTAACTTAAGATTTTTACACAAGCCAATAATGCAGTTCATTGGGTGGCAAATATAACTTTATCTAACTCACTTCAGTTGAATTGAGTGGATTATCTTCCTCCTCGGCTTAAGGCTTTCTTATCTACTAATTGTAATCAGCATTTTTCCACGTACAGTTATTTTATATGTTTCTATGTTTCCAAAAAAAATTGATGAAACTAGTTGTCTTACTTTTTTTTTTGTTTTTGTACGTGTATAGAATTTATTGTCTTTTATGACTAATAATTTTTTGGCATAATACCAAAAAACTACGTGGTTTTATTCTAACAGACTCCTTTATTGTAATCCATAGCATGTAGTTCCTTTCAAATCAAATATTTGAACAGTACAACTAGAGTAGGTAGTCTGTCGACCCTTAGCTTTACCGAAGAGGCAAATCTTATCCTCAAAAGTCTCTAGAGTGTTTAGCCCAAAGACCACCACGACCCACCATAGGTGTTACGGGCATCTTTAATTCAGTTTTTTTAAGATAATTAATTAAAATATATTTAAATATTATATTTTTAATATTATTTAATTATTTTTATAAATTCATTTTAATCACACTCTTTAATTTAACTAATTATTTTATCTAATTTTTATTAATTTTTAATAATTTAAAAGAAATATAGCATATATTTAGAAAAAGATAGGGAGACTAAATGACTCTCTATATTTAGTGAGTCATTTCGGTGAAATAAAAAATAGAGAGTGAGATAAAAAATGAATTAAAGAGAATTTTTTATATTCAATTAACTAAAATAAAAATAAATAGATAATGAGTTGAAGATGGTCTAACCCTCCACAATTGAACAATCAAGTGGCCCACGCACGCGTCAGACACTAGTAAGTAGTACACAACGTGGCGTAATAACATGGGTCCACTTTCACAAACCCTATGTACTAATTACTCCGAGGAATAAACTCCTATTCCCGGAGGATATGCCCTTCTATTTTGTGTTACACTGGGATTACACCACCGTATATCCTCTCCCAAAACCAAAAGTCTTTCTTAACAACCAACCAAACGCAAAGCAACGACATGATAAAAACCTCATCATTTATCTATGAAATATTAAAACAGTTTTCCCGAATATTCCCTTGTAAATTCCTCTGCACTGTTGCATTTCTAAAACGCTCTCCTGCCTTTTTGTATGCCTCCTCCTTCCCTCTTCCTCTTCCTCTTCCTATGTATACTTGTTATAAACACATAGCTTTATTGATTCATCAATTTGTTTGAACCAAACAAACAGACAAATAAAAAAAAAAAAACATTTCTTCTGTACTACGTTCGAATGGCTTGTTTTGCGAGGCCGAAACGGGTCACTGGCCCGTTCGACGATAAAGTCAAGGCTCGGATTGTCGGTGTCAGCAGCGGAAGTGAACACAGCGCCAAAGCTGATGACGACGTCGTTTCGCCTTCTCTCACCGACCTTGTCCACAGATTTCTCGAAAACGACGAGGTAAGCACGCCGGAGACTGAGTCAGATTCCGAGCGCGACCCAATATTAACGTATGATCATTCAACGGACAAGATCGAAGACCCGATAAATCCAATGGTCAATAACAATGCAGATCCTTTTAAGAATGTCCTTTTAGCTCATGTTTCAAGAGCAATCCAAGTGTTTTCATGCGTGAAAGTGAACAAACCCATTCTCCGCCGAAAAGTGATGACGGTTCTCCGAGATTTCGGCTACAATGCAGGTATTTGCAAGACTAAGTGGGAAACCTCCGGCGGACTTACCGCCGGAAACTACGAGTTCATCGACGTTATCCTATCCGACTCAGCCAACCACCTGACTCGATACTTCATCGATCTCGACTTTGCCGGTGAGTTCAAGGTCGCGAGACCTACGAATCACTACGAGAGACTCTCGCAGTTCTTGCCTAGTATTTTCGTCGGTAAAAGTGCAGATTTGAAGCAGATCCTGAAGGTCATGAGCGACGCAGCGAAGCGATCGTTGAAAACTAGAGGTCTGCACATGCCCCCCTGGAGAAAACACCGTTACTTGCAAAACAAGTATTTCGGCCCGTACCTTCGGACGTTGAATTTGATGCCGGCGAAGTCTTCGGCATTTACAGTGACGGCCAAACCAGCTTTCGCCGTCAAGTGCCGATCCGTTGGCTTTAACGCCGTTAACGGCCGTTTGTTATTTCCCTCAACAACCCGTACGAGATAAGCAAATTATCCAATTAAATAATTTGCAGTAGAAAATTTATTCAGTATTTTGTCGTTTTGGTTTCATTGTCGTGGAAATTTGATCAGTGACCGCAGCGTACGCGGCATAATGTACATATTGGAGCACATTAGCAGCCCGTCCCTTGCCAACAATTTATACATATTTTTTGATGTTTTTATATCTTGTGTACTATTTCATGTATGTATCAGAGATATTGATGACGTGGCGTTATATCTGAGGAGTTTTTATTTTTATTTTCACAACTTTTGATGTGGGAATGATGAAAAATGTAAGAAAAGTCTGACACTAGGATTGGACAGCAAAGAAATATAGAAGAAGAAAGAAATAAAGTTTTGAGAATTTGTTTGGATAATGTTATTTTAAATGATGTAGATAAGGTCCGAGTTGCTTTTGTCTCTTTACTAGTTTAAGGGACACTGATGGGTGACCCTTTGGGTGGGTTCAAGAAAACCCTTTGCCATTGCTTTTGAGCAATGCGCTGACCCGAAAAGACCGAAGAGCTCAAACAAGGGACCATAGATAGAATTTTAATTTTTGTAATACTAGATAAAAAACTGGATAGAGATGAAGTCAAAAGAGAGAAAAACAGGAGGGAGGTATCTGGGCCGTTGGTAGACCGAAAATGGTTGAGTTATGGCAGATGAGCGAGGAGAAAGAGAAAGAGGAGGCATCTAATCGGTTTGGTAGTGTGTTAAAAAAGGTTTAAGATGGTTTGGGTGTGATTTTTTTATTGCAATGAATTATGTATTATTGGATGAAATTAGATGAATTTTGATAAAATTTGGACAGTTTAAAAAAAGTATGGATGCCATTTGAGCTGTTTTTGTACTGGGTTAAGTTGGAGGATTCAAAATGACTCATGTTTTATCAGTATAGATAGTTCGAGATACCAGTGGTCCTCTGATTCAATGATACTCTTTAACTTGTGAAAGCTTCTCTTCACCCCCCAAAAAAAAAAAAATAGTTCTAAGTACGTTAATTAAGTACAATCAAAGAGCATATAAGGACAATGATGATCCCTTGAGTAGACAATGTCTAAATTACTAACATTTAAATTTCTATGGAGTTACCTTAATCAACGTCCAAGTTACTAAGCTGAAATAGAGTTGAGTTTGATATTATTGTGGTTTATTTAGATTTATATCTGCATAAAAAATATACAATGAAATAGAGTTCATTTTTTGGATAAAATTTATTACAATTTCACTTGATTGAGTTATTCTCAGTGATTCTAATTTTTGGATCATTTTTTTTTATTTTTAATGGATTTAATTATAAACTATAAAATAAAATTCATTGAATAGTTAGATCATAATAATTAAATAGATTCACATCATATAAAGCTGATCCCAATTTGATCGAAAGGACCAGGCCCATAAAAAAAGGTCCATGGAACTAAAAACCCTAGACTGGGCCTAGATTGTCGAAAGAAAGGGATACCTAGTATGGACCATAAGAATGAGGGTCCATTAACTTAACTGATGACTGGAGTGAGAAAGTACATCATGGAAACTGAAAACATAAGACCCACTCGGTTTGAAGTCTTCTGACGATGGGACTATTTATAGCTATGTATCATATCGTAGTATCGAGTCAGAGTCCAATATCCATCACCAACCCCCATGGAGATGGCATGTGGGCCTATTTGCTTTATTTTGTTGCTCAACCATGGGCCCTAATAAACATGCTTACTGTGGCCGAACAACTTCAAATCTATGAACATGAAGTTGAGCTAGGTTCTGTCGTTACCATTTGAATCACCATCTCGCATGTTGGACGAATCAATGGGAGACTTGATGGAATTAGAGGCTTATGCTAGTGGTGGGGTGGTTTTTAATTGGGTAAATATTAGAGTTAGTTCTTCAACTTTGCATTCTGTTTAATTTAATTTCTGTGCTTCCAATTTTCCCAATTTAGTTTTAATTAAGTTCTTTTATTAAATTTTATTGTTAGATCAATTGGAGACTAGCATTATTTGATTCATTTCAGTGTTGATCTAGTAGCAAAAATGAACAGAACGACTTAATTGAAACAAATTTGATAATTAGTGGACTAAATTAAAAAAAATAAATAAAATTTTAAGTACCAAATTAAAACCAAAGACAAAGTTAATAGATCAACTATAATTTTTACCGTTTTTAATTTTATTGAAGTTCTATTAATTATATATAGTCAAAGGGCACTGGACTTTTTGATGTCACTTCTAAACCCTATTTTATTTGTCAAAATCATCCATAATGCCCAAAATCGACATAAAATATTATGAATTTTGGGTTAAACTTATACGACCATAATTTGTGTTCACCATCAAAGTCCAAAGAAAAAATTCATCACACACGATGTGATATAAAATTGAGCTACCACATTTATGAAAACCCGTAGACCAAAATTTCCTCATTTCATCAAACCTACCCGTGTTGAACCTTAAGCATATAATGATTCTAAGCGTAGCTCGCTAAGGAACCCAGAGCATGCTTAACTACCTACGTCCCATAAGACTAGGGTGAACTAAGGATTGAGATGGACCACCCTTTTGTCTAGAATGTGAACATACGCATTCCAATATGTCACAATGGAAATTGTTAGAGTTTTTTTTTATTTTTTAATTAAACGGTCAAGGATATTCAAATCATCATACGTATATTGTTTGATTCAATTAAAAACAGATTATTCACGTCTAGATTAGAATATTCATTAGAGATAAATCTCTCACGACTTGAATTTACAACTCTCATCTCTATTATTACTTACGCTATCTTTTTTTTAGAATATGGGAAGTGGTAAAAAAATACTTGATTTAAATGGTAAAAAAAACACGAAAAAAAAAAAAGAAAGAAAAAAGAAAACAGGTAAATATAAAGAGAGTAATTGGGGTCCAATTACATGGCATTGCCTGGGAATCCTCGGTGGCGTTTTCCCTCCCGTCCGTCGCTATTGTTGCAAAGATCGTAAATGACAAATAGACAGTTGCCGTGGGAGATGAGAGAATGACACGTCAAGGGTCACGTAGGACCCACGCGTATACGTACGAAACGGTGATCCAAGGTGGCAGATTAGTTGGCGATGGGACCAAATGGGGACCCATTGCCACCTCATGTCTCCAAGGCTGGAGAGGGATTGATCATCCTCCATCATTAAAATCAGCAGCAGTCCCACACAGTCAGAGGGAGGGAGAGAGAGAGAGGTTTGCAATAATTTGATTGTGAGAATGGCGACAAAGGCTCATCTGGTTCGCCATGTTCCCGCCAAAAGCAATAATAGTAAAGCATTTTCATGTGAGTTATATAAAAGAGAAAAAGACTGCATAATCTCATGCATTTATTTTCCCATGTCATAGATATATCCCATTGTTTTCTTACGTGTTTGCGTGTGCCATATCACTGTCTATCCAGATTATTTGCATGTTGACGAGGAAAAGTTTCATAAGCCCACTCTTTCTTAAATTGATCTTATAGTATGTAGTAAATATAAATTTAAAGGAGAAAGAATATGTGTGTGGGAGAGAGACGAGAAGAGGGAGTCGATGGAGAGAGAAATTTGTGAAAGTTAGAAAAATTTTAGGAATTATGTTATTTAAAAATAGGTGAACGACATAAAATTAAATTAAATTTGTCAATTTAAAAAATAAAAAATTCAAGAAAATTGGAATAGAAAATTTTTCATCCAAACCAACTGCATTACTATATTTTTTGGGTCATTTTAGCGGTCGAGGGTGGATAGAAAGAAAGAAATGGATAAATACTTTTTTGAGAATTATAAATTCAGATTACTGTTAGTATTCTTTTCGTTCATTTTTCTTTTCGATATATCATTCACTATGTGTAAATAAATGACACACTTATATTTCCAATTAAATAATCTATGAATGAGAAAAATTGAAAGAATTTATATTGAAGAGAATCTCATTCTTGTTTCAACACCAAAACTATTTAAAGCATGATCTTTTTCAAAAAGATGCAAGTTTTAACCGTCCAATAAAACAAGGAGCGAAAGAGCCGGAGGGTTATACTTTTTTGATTGGTATTCTAAATCTTCTATCTAATTTGCCAATTGTCTATTAGAGGAGAGAGAAAGTGAATCCAATGACATCTTCTTCTCCTTCTCCTCCTCCTCCCATTGATTACGGACCACCTTTTAAGCCTACACTTTTGAAAGACGCAATCCAATGCCAAAGCAAACGAAAATCTAAAATTAACTAGTTTAATCGGTAATAGGTATGAGATGTAAATTCAAATATCTGAAATCAAATTTTGACAGTTTTTTAGGGTCAGGTCATAAGAGTTTTAATATCGTAGTTCCAACGTAGATATCCTATCTTTGTCCGACTCAGAGAAAAAATTAATTAAAGTACACATAAATTGACTTAATCACTTCTGACCGTCGAACAAAAAAAAAAAGGAAAGTCTGAATTTTAGCATGGAAAATTCAGTTTTCTTAGCATTACAAAACCACGGAATTTCAGATTGGGAATTCTCAATTTGAATACCATTATTTTCCTCTTCTACTTGGGTGAGGTCAGATATATTCTGTGTGTGAAAATTAATTTTATATATCTTGGTTTGATACAATAGTAATTTATGAAAGTTCTTGTTAGTTTAGATAGGGTCATAGAAAAAGATCAGCAAGGTGGCAAATGGATCCATATATATGAATAAAAAAAAATACTAAATATATTTTTCAGAATAACCAAAACAATTTAATAAGGGTAATGATAGATGGTGATTATAATCAAAGTGTATTATAAGGAAGGAATATATAGTTTTTGATCATATAATAATGTGAAGAAAGGATCGGAATAATACCGTGACTCCCATCATAAAATATCTACAATAAACTCATCGTGTTTAATTTTTTTTATAGACCCGAGACTTGCATCGATTTAGAGATGATTAATAATCATTGCCTTCTTCATTATGCGATAAACCAGCTCAGGAATAAAATTTTAATTTAAATATACTTTGGAGTAGAAAATTTTTGTT